AAAAAAGAGTAGTATTAGCTCAGAACTATCGAGAAAGTCAATAAAAATGATACTTTACCATGATAAAGGAAATAATTTTGTAAAGAGCACGTCACGAATCACTGAAAAAATCGATGGAATCACTGACAAGCAAACATAAGTAATAATTGAGGAGGAAATTAATTGAGAGCACAGAGAAAAATGGCATGCAATGGTAGGAATAGGAAGAGGCATGAAGGCGGAATGGAAATCGCGAAAAAACCGTAAGGGAAAAGGGAGGCGGAGGAAGAGAAGGGATAGAAGACTGAGTGGGCGCAGAATGCGCAGGTACTATACTGATGCAATAGAAGGGAATAGGAAGGAAGGAAGGGGCCATAGCCTCACCATTTCACATGGAGTAGGATAGGATAGGATAGGATATGTACAGAAAACGAAATTTTTGATATGAATTATTTCCGAGATCAATTGCTGTCATTTTCCCCAAAATTTTTCTTAGCGTACAATGCGCACCTGAGCATGCACCTAATTATGTTAGAACTAAGCCTTCGGCATTCTTAAATTATTTCGAGGAGAGAGTAAAAAATGTTCGTTTGCACTATCCATCGCCCCTTGCTCCCACGCCCTGTGCTACCTTCTCAGTCCCACGGTAAAGTCGTAAACTTTGCGGTTCGTTTCGCATTTTTAACTCTGCAGCATGTCATAAAATTCACTTGCGGCCCCAAGTGTTCCAAATGTTCAATGAATCCAATTGCTTCGTGAGGTGATCAAGATGCACCGACACCGACAGCCTATGATTTTCAACACAGTCTCAGCTGCGCAGGCATTCATTCCATACGCCACCTTTTGCTTCTATGTTTTCTCGGTGTAAATACCCCGTTTAGATTTTGGTTTCATGTGGCAAAGAAAAATTCGATTTCCTGTCGATTTTTTCATTTTCCGAGGTGGTATGTGATACCAAAGTTCTTCAAAGGAATCTTGAGGGAGCGTTCATAAATTACGTAATGCACTTATGCGGCATTTTTGACCCCCTCCCCTCAGGTAATGATTTTGTGACGTAGGTACCAATCCTTTATTACGTAAGAACAAAATGGCGTAACACGCTCCTTGATACCTCAGCGCGCTACGTGAGAGCGTTACGTAATTTGTGAACGAGCCCTAAAGGTTAGGCCCGAGAGCAAATAATCGGGTATCCACTATCCACTATGTTGAATCAACTTCTACTCCTTGCATTGCTGATGGTTTATGAGGTTCCAGAGGGTTGCGTCGCCAGCGAAAGCAGTGAACTGACAGAGATCGAAACAAGCGGTAAACAACTATACCTACCTTTTTGGAGCAGTGGTGGCTCTGCGCATTTGGTGAATCTATTTTTATGCAATTAATTAAAATAATTACAAATCCGATGACAGCAATCGATTCTACGTACGGCAACCTGGCCCAAATTATTTTGATGGTTTAACATGTTCTAAAATGTACAAAACGGAGTATCGTCAACTTATGAGACTCGCCACCAAATGCCTCGCAAGGTATTTCATTTTATCGTCACCTTCCGGCCAAAGTATATCACACGATTGAGCACAGGGGAGAATTCCATGAGCGCCGCTGCCCGCGGCGCACTATGGTCCAAAACTCAAGAATTGGAAGAAATAAGTAGAATAATGACTGAAAGATCATGAAAGTTTCGTAACTGATGTTTTTTTAGTCTCTAATTTTTGAATTTGATGTCATATCGCCTATATTTTAACACCCTGACCTATTAATTGTGGGCAAGTTTTATAGCACGCTGCGGCGTGGCGCGGCGTGTTGCCGCTGCCAGCTTGAAATGCAAACTGACGCCTACAAACCTAAACGGATACTTCATGCATTGCGCAATGCGTGAAGTATTCCTTCGCCCCCGACGCGGCCGGGTGGTGAACGATTTATTGCGGGGAGAGCTCCCTGGCAGAGAAACTCGTATATCGTGTAAATTTTTATTTTCTTCATTATTATTATTTTTAATTTTTGACTTCAAAAATTACACACTGGTCGTGTGAAGCAATAAGTGAACTCTCAACTCTAGATGAATAAAGGCAGTGCGACATGCGCGCTGCGGACGGCGCAGAGCGGCTCATAAAATTCTCCCCTGTGCTCTGTCGGTATATCACAAGCGCCATGCGACGTTTCAAAATTACAGCCGCCATTTCAAATACAATTCAATACTCGTACTTTCCATACAATTTTCCGGTCAGACTTTTATCTGAGCCCGCTTTGTCAAAACATCATTTTTGCGGTTACTGCTCTCTTCATTATTACGGCAGCAGTCTCTATACTCTCCCTACAAAGGTACTCTATACGAAAAAAATAACTTAGCGCTAAGCCCTAACACTTTAGATCAAATATAGCCAACTAAAGGCAGCAGGCCGGCTGAGCCCTATAGTCTGTGCGGCTGCACCCCTAAAGTTTTAGGGCGGACCCTAAAGTTATAGGGCTCAGCACAACTATCTTTAGTATGCTCCATTTGATCTAAAGTGTTAGGGCTCAACACTAAGTTGTTTTTTCCGTGTACTTCCTTGAAGTTTACGGCCCCGAGGCGCGAGGCCTGAACCAACTTTCCACCCAACGTTAGCTTCACCCGCTTGACAAAACCCTGACAATATAATATTGCTGAAATATTTCTGATTTACAGTGGAAACAGCCGAATCGATTCCGCCCAATTCCTTGCAGCAGCAGGGATGTGGAAAGAGCATGGTCGGGCAACGTCACGAAAATATAGTGGGTGGTGAACCTGCCGAACTCGGTGCCTGGCCCTGGATCGCCACTCTGGGTTTCAAACTCGGTTCCGATGATTTCTTTTATGACTGTGGGGCATCACTCATCTCTGCGCGGCACGTTATCACCGCAAAGCACTGTGTCTCCGAATTACTGTAAGTGTTGCCTGATATAACGATGCCCAAAATGCGAAACCACGTATGGTCATTGCGGTGTTTCAAAATTTCCGCTCCTATTTTATTTTTTCGGAGAGGAATAAGCCAGCTTCATCGCTTAAGATTTTTACAGAATATTCTGCTGACAGAGAAGAAAAATCAGGACATTTCCAAGAAATTACGTCGACTAATTTTCCAAAGAAACAGCAAAGTATGACCAGAATTCTGCTGCGTCACAAAAGGAGATGCGTGGTTTTTCACTTTGGCCATCGACAAGTGTTCCTTTAGATAGTACAACGCAAATTACCGTTGGAGTACCAACACTGCTAAGTTAGGTACTATAGTGATCAGTATCGTCCAAATTTTCTGAATCGAGTTTCCTTTGAAATGTGACCGATGTAATTCACATGAACTGAGTGATTCCACTAAAACAATGAACTTATGTTGTATTTGAACAAACGAAAGTTGTGAGAGAGCAATGATCCTGCGCCATCCTGCGAGAGAGCGTTGTCCTACAACCCTGTGCAAATTGCCACCTTTCTTCGCCAACAGCTGACCCTAAAATTCTGTTTTTCTCTATTGATGACATACTTGTGCCAACATGCAAAGATATCGTAACAGCTGTCATGTCTACATGAAACAAATGAGTCCCTTCTCGTGGTACAGATAAATGGATTTACGGTTGTGCGGATTTTCGTGCAAATTTCAGTGGATTTTCTTCATAGTACGGAGCAAATTCCTAGAAATTTTCAAAAGTTAAAGTTCTTTCGTAAAAATTTAAATCGCCCAGTTTAATTTGGCAATAGCTGATGTGGCTTGGTTCCTTTCTGTTAAACGCGGTCCAAATGTCACCGAGTAAAGTGGCACTCGAACCATTTCGAAGAGACATCTGGCTGATCATGGACATCTTTTTTCTATTTTCTTGATCTACTTCTTTACTTCTCTTTTTTTCTTCGCCCTTTGCAACAAGGCAAACCGAGCAGAGCCCAGTTTAGTTGTCGGAACTATACCCTTCCATGATTTAAACTTTCAAATCTCCAGGGATTAAGACCGCGTAAACACTGTCTCTGCATATACACCTGTCATTTCGGCATTTGTCGCCAGGAGGATTCGAACTCAGGACTTATTGGCCCTGAGTTAGACGCATTGACTACCAGGCCAATCTAGCCGGCTAAAAAAATGATACATACTTATCTACCTTATCTACCTAACTGGCTGGAGGACTTAGTCTCATCATTTCCCGGTCAAATGCACTTAGGTTCATTTTTCAAAACGTCAGTTCTGTTGTTTCTGTTCTAACTGATAACACGGCAGATCAGGCGTGCAAAATGTGCTCGAGTTAGCGAGTCATCTCGCGGCAAGGAGCCGGCCACTAGATTGATATAATATGGAAATCAACGTCTCCTAAATGCCCATTTACCTAAAAAAAAAAAAAAAATATGTACTTTTGGTGATATTTTAATAATTAATTAATTAATTAATTTTTAAACTTTGCAGTTCCTTCGTTCGACTGGGAGATTTGAATCTTAGTCCAGATGTCAAAGATGGAGCTTCACCGGTAGACTACATAGTTGAGGAAGAAATCATGCATCCGAAGAGTGATATTGCTATTTTGCGCCTTCAAAAAGATGTTACATTCACCAGTAAGTTCTTTTCCAGGTCTCTTTTTATTATCTTATATTTTATCTAATAAGGGAAAAAATTAAACAAAGTAATTATATGAAAAGTGCACATGATTCAAAAACTGAGAAAATAGTTTGAATGCAGACTCGGACTGGCCATAAGACCAATCTGACGAGAAAACGCGACAAAATTTCTCATTTTCTGAGAGAATAGTAATATTTCTAATTTTGACGTCTTTCGGTGATATAAAAGGCAGCACCTTTAATTAGTCCAGTTAAGAGAGAAACCAAACACGCAATTTGGCCTGAAACGGCGCGGCGTAGAGAGCAATGGTGACGAGAACTTGAGATGAAAAGGAGAAGCCCTCCCTCGGCGCGGCGCGGCTCGGCGGTCGGCATGTAACACATATTAGCGCCTACAAGACTCCATGAATACTTCACGCATTGCATCAAACACTGTGCGGTCAGCAGCGGTCGGCGAGAAACGCATGGCGCCTACAAGACTGCATGAATACTTCACGCATTACGCCAAATACAGTGCGGTCAGCGCGGCGCGGCGGAAGTTAAAATTATTAAACCACCTTATGTTGGTTCTCTCATAATTTTTTCGTTCATTTGCTATGAATGGAAGGACTTGTCCACACAGAGATAGGTTTACGGAACTTAATTTCCGTGCAAATTTTCGTGAATTTTGGCTAGTAGTGTTGGCAGGGCTTTCGCAAACAATGTGTCCAACACGAGTAAACGCGTCTTATGCACCCCTCCCTCTCTGGCACGTTCACTTGATGGTTTTTATTGATGTTTCGGGGCAATTTTATTGATGGGCGGCAAATAGGTAAATCCGGCCCTGATTCAAATTGTGAAAGCACTGAAATCACACTAAAAAAGTTAGAAACATTAACTCGATAATCGGTCAACTCAAAAAAATTAGTCAAATACCTCTGGCTTTTTCATGTATTCATTTGCGGTTTCTAATAAGTTGATTTGGAGTGGAAGTTAGCCATGTTTTTTCATCAATATTATCATGGGGCAACGCCCTTTGACCGCTTCGCATTCCAACCCCCCCTCCCCTCCCCTCAGGCGCGTATGCGTTATCTTATGATTTTATATTACAGAACAAGATAAGTTAGAGTTACAATTTTAATAATGAATTGATATTAAAAAAAGTATTTCTTTTGTCGAAAAGGGTGGTCATTATAATCCAAAATGTAATATGTTTTGAGTCCATATTGAACGTGTTGATTGCAGGTACTGCACGGATTCCATTTTGGAAGCGACGAAAACATGATGGCCACTAAAATCAATACGTAATATGTATTTATTTATTATTCTTATTTCTCCAGATTTGATCCAACCAATTTGTTTACCTTCTGCACCGGAGATCAAAGACAACACGTGGGCTGGTTATGAACCTTTCGTGGCTGGATGGGGAATGACGGAACCATGGAAAGTCGCCGACCGTAAGTACCTGCTTGTTTGTTTCAATTCCATTTCTTTTTATTCTGTCTTTCTTTTTTTTAAATACAGATTGGACTATATATAAAATGACTAATATATAAAATAAATAAAAGTGATATACAAGCTAATTGGATCGCATATAACAAAACGGAACCAGCGCGATTACTACATACTGATCCGTGCCAGAGCTTTCATTGATGCGATCATAATCAAATTTTATTTGTTCATCCCATCGCTCTGTCGTTAAAAGATCTAACGCTTTGCAGAGTCTCAGATTTCCAGAATCGTCGAGGAAGCATACGAAAAATATGATGTGTTATATAATAGACTTTGCCCTCGTGAAATTTCAACATGGAATCATTGGTGTTTCAGATAAAGGCAAAAATAAGATGCTTCGACAAGTAAGAGTCCCCGTTTGGGATGACCAGAGATGTAAATCTGTATACGACGAAACCCGAGGATACATCGTTGATGAAACGATGATGTGCGCAGGTCTCGCGGATGGAGGAAAAGATTCTTGCCAGGTATGCATAAATAAAGTCAAAAATCTGAGCGTAACGGGTCAATAGACGTTACTAGGGGGCTATGCCCCTTGACCGCTACGCGGCTCAACCCCCAGATGGTGCTTCGCGCTCTCTTATGACCGCCCTTCCAAAAGGGGCCCCAAGTCCACTTTTCGAGAGGCCCGCCTTTTGAATAATTTGAAACCAGTCCGCCACTCGATACAGTCTTTAGGTAGTTTTGAGAAAAATCTTTCAGGATTTTCAGGCTGAAATTTTACGAAACTCCTTGAAAACTTCCTGTCCAGCAGTTTCTTCAAAAGAACTTCAATAGTGATAGCCCAAATTTTTATCAAGTCGAAGAAGTTTCAATGACAATTTTAAAATTCCGGGCGTTAATTAAGCCACATCCGCAGTTTGGAATTGTTGGATTATAGAGCAACATTACGCCCTTATTTGGACCGCGTTCACCAGAAAGGAACCGACCCAAATTTTCAAAAAAAATTTGGTTTGGAATGTTTTTGAGATACACTAGTCGTACCATATTCCCCTGCCAAATACTCGAAGTCGAGAGAAAAAAATTAGTCCGTGTGAAGAGGGGTTCTAGTTCATTTTCTACATTGAGCCATATGGAGAAACAAAACCTCTAACTTCTTTCTCTTAGTTTCAAATATATGTGGGTTGGTTCTTTTCTGTTGAACTCGGTTAATTTGGCACCTCACTGAAACGAAAAAAATTTAGGGAATATTTCAAACATATTTTAGGTGTTTTATTAAACACCGATAGGCGCTCTCCAATTGTCTAGAGAATCACGAAACACCCGATTAATCGAGAGTTCCTTCATTTTAGCATATATGCAATTTGATCTCAGAGGAATTATAATAGTTGCACAACCCCTATCTAGTTGTCTACGGAGCGGCACAAGATATCAGGCGCCCTTTTATTAAACTGTGAGACTGTGAAAACTCGTTTTAATATTTTAAATTTTAATAAAATCATACATTATCACCTCTAGATGATTATAAACGTCTGTTGTTTTCTTGGTAGGTACGGCTGTCTTTTCCCAGATAATTCTTTATTCACTCGCTAACTTTGTACATTTATGTTTATTAGGGTGACAGCGGTGGTCCACTGATGGTTTCTCTGGGGAAGAATTCCTCGTACTACTTGATTGGAATTGTTTCTTGGGGTCTAGGGTGCGCAAGGCCGAATGTACCCGGGGTTTATGTGCGAGTCTCGAAATTTCTTGATTGGATTGAGAAAGTAACGAAATAATTTCCTACACTCAAAATTTTCTTCTAAAAAATGGTATTTCTATGTGTAGCACCTCATTGAAAATTATCAATGTGAGCAGTATAATCATGAATCGTCTATATTTTACTTATAGCTATCTAAAGAACACGAAAGTGTAATTGTTTGATGCTTGTGAAGTGGAATTATTTGATGGAAATCATACGTATGTAATCTGCAAAAATACAATACTTGTCCATTTATTTATTTAGAATTATTGCGATACTTTTCAAAAACCTAGCTGGTCAAGTTTGAGAACTTCTGAAATGGAGGGACTCATTCTGTAAGTAAGACTCCTATGAACTGTAACGATAAAATTGCTGATGGTGATATTTATTGCAGGAGGTAGTAAGAAAAAATCAATCAATCAAGCACGGAGTCGAAATATTGAATTTACGAGCCATTCCCTGGCGAAAACGTCCAAAACATCATCTGACTCCTCGGAGACGAGGGATCTCTTTGCAATTGCTTCTGAGTTCATATCAATTCGTCATTTTTATTGAGATTAATTCTCTTCCTTTATAAAGTCACCTTTGAGAATAGAAGTACCCAAAGGTTGTCAGAATACTTCTACTCACGGTCCACTGGTCTCACGGTCACAGATGCAGTACAAATCTCACCTCTTTCAACCGACGTACAGACTTAATAGGTTTTACCGAAGGAAAAGCAGTTATTCTAATTGAGGGGCTTAGAGGACGCATAAGTGCAGTTTTTACTGTTCCGAGAAATACGTTTTTGAAGTTTCGAAACTACCTGGATCCTGGGCGGAAAGAAAGATCAAACTATTTGATACTTAAAAATTGTAATTTGGCTGCAAAATCACAGAATTTGCAGTAAAACTAGTTTTCCTTGAAATCATTAATATCTTAATTTTTTCAAAAACTGCACTTAGGTATGCCTATACCCCTTGTCTTCCAAGCGCCCCCCCCCCCCNTCATTTGAGAAGAGTTGCCACCGGTTGCGAATGGTGTGGAAACAAAAACGCCTACAGTTTCGGAATTATGCAATATCGCCTTCCGCTGAGCGAGAATAGTTGTATTTAGGCGATGATATTCACTTTTCATGTTTGCGAGAGCAAAAGCAATCGTGTTCTACAGCGATGATCGGTCCAATACAGGAGCTCATAGCGGTGTCCTCCATAGAGTTTTTTTGACTTTGCATGTATGTATTTATTATTTATTTCTGTATTCATTCGCTGAATTTTATGATCCTCGAAAATTATCACCGCATAATTTCTTGCAGAGTCTTCGCCACCGTTCCACGATAGACTGCCGAGGGAACTGTTCTTTTTCTCTGTCTCTACACGAAGGCCGAGCCCGAGACCTGAAGAAAGACTAATATCCTGTCGTGCTAAGGAAAAACGCCGTATAAACATTCGAGAATTGCCAAATTTCCGTGTATAAAACATGTGTTTTTGAGGAGACTTATGAATATTTTCTCCTGCAATTTTCGAATAATTTAGATCTAATTACAAAAAAAATTCTCTGAAAAATCGAATGTATAATGTACACGTGTTTTCCTGAAAATTCGTTATCAATCAAAGTAAATTTGGCAACTGACAAAGGTTCATACGGCGTTCTTCCTTATAATGGCAGTATTATCGCCTCATTTCCGACGCGAGCCATAAAGTCGTTCCGAAACTCTACGTGGCCTCAAATTATTAAATGGTCCACAAATCCGTTTTTCTGAGAAGGCATTGGTCGTTCGCTCTGGCCTGCCCAATCGGATTCAGTTCATATCAATCGCGCAATGCTCGTTCTCCTCACAGTCTACATGGTGGTTGTAACTTCGCTCAGCTATCAATAGACTGATTTAGTGGCTAGGGTCAGTGTAAGGACAGTGGGTCACATTGTACGATGGGCCATCAACGGTTTTGGTGAAATTTAGTGATACCGGTGAAAAGTTATGCAGTAGCGGTGTTTGTTCACATCCCAAGACCTTGTCTTCACGGGATTTGTTACTAGTCCAGGCGCTTGGTAGCTAAAAATGAGGCTACCTGGAATTTCGGGTGCACAGCGATTTTTTTGGCTTACTTTATGTTTTTTAGGTCGCTAAATCCGAATCTGAAGTTTCCTACCGCGTATCTGGTGAGCATTTTCTGGCCATTATGTAAAAATGGCCTAAAAAGGCCTTTTTTTGCGGTTTTTTTGATATAGCGGTTACGCATGAGAAAAAGTCCTGGATTTAGTTAATGTTTTGAATAGCTGACATAATTTGAAAGAAAATGGTGTATACCTACATATGCGAGGTTTGCTTAAAAATTGAGGAAGATACAGCATCGTGAACATCGCGCCCATTCACATTTTCGCGGCGCACCCGTCAACGCGCGATTCGGCTTGCCGCGCGCGCTGTCAGCTAAGTTCCGAAGCGTTCCAAAGTTCCGAGATCCGAGGTTCCTCAATTTTTGAGCAAACCTAGCTTATTTATATACCATTTTCTTCCAAATTTTTGTCAGCTATTTAAAACATTAACTAAATCCGGGACTTTTTCTCATGCGTAGCCGCTACATAAAAAAAACCGCAAAAAAGGCCTTTTTAGGCCCCTTTTTCAAAATGGCGGAAAATGCTCACCAGATACGCGGTAGGAAACTTCAGATTCGGATTTAGCGACCCAAAAAACATAAAGTTAGCCAAAAAAATCGCTGTGTACCCAAAATTCCAGGTAGACTTACCAGGCGCCTGGACTATACGGGGAAAAATCCCCCGTGTAAAAGTAAGTCAGCCTGACGTCTGGCTATGTTTCATAAACGATTCTGCGTCTGACTGATATCAGCCCGAATCAGTCTGACTCAGGTTAGTTTATGAAACATAGCAGCTGAATCATTCTGACTGAGGGTAGTTTATGAAACATAGCCTGACGTCAGGCTGACTCGCTTTTACTAGGGCCCCCTTACGAGGTCGGGAAAAATATTGAGTTAATCAATCTTCTTTCCTGTACCAAGTATATGGTTCTTGTACTCCTGAGGCCTTGTCTCCACAGGACGTTTCGTGGAATTTGTCCCACGGGATAATGTCACTTGCGAAGTAGAGTATCTGTATAGCGAGAGTATGGACAGATCGCTTCATGGAGGGCTTAGGGCCCAAAAGTGCAGCCACCACTGCCAGTCTGCAGATTCCAATTCTAACCAAGATGGCCAAGAATGTACATAAATGAGCGATCTTCCGCAAAAATGAGTAAATTTATGCAAAAACTAAGTCGCAAATACGTGCTTTATAAACGATGGTTCGCAACAATTGTATTAATAAATCGCTCTGGATAATTGAAAATCATAGGTTGGCTGCATTTCTGGGCCCTAACTTTATTCGTGGAGGCATTGATGAAGGCCTGATGGATTTTCGGAGTTTCACATCTATCCATACTCTCACTATACAGGTACTCTATTGCGCGAATTTGGGAAAAATATTGAGTTGATTAATACTAATCACAGTATCAACTGAGAGTCCTCGTGGAGTCCCAGGAACAACTTTTAAAAAAAAGCAGAAATGTTGTTGGTTTTTTCAACGGGTAAAAAGCCCAGAGGTTTCATTCCTGCGATTCGAACTTAAGAAAAATCCCGTGAACCGTCCCGTGGAGACTTGGCGTAAGACCAACTGAGAGAGGAAGAAGGAGTGAGAGCAAATTGTGCGATATTTTGTTGTTTACTCTAATATCCGTGTTTGTCTAGTAAAAGTAATGTGTGTATAGTTGTCAATCGTGTTCAAATATTATTTTAATCTCAGTTAAATACTCGATTTTTACAAATTTGTCGCCGGAGCGTTCGAGCCCCGTCCCGTGGAGACGGAAATAACTGGGAAAAATCCCAGAAGTTCCATTCCTGCGATTCGAACTGGGGAAAAATCCCATGGAAATGTCCCCTGGAGACAAGGCCCAACAAGACGAGCTTTAACAGAGCACGTGCCTCTTCTTTACGCTCCAGTGGCGTGGTGTGAATTGCGATATATCGATTGTTATGCCATTTAAACCTATGTCAGAGAATCGACTATTAAGGTGTTCGCTGCAAACACCCTGCTTAGCGATACTTTTCCATAGGTTTAAATGGCATAATAATCGATATATCGCAATTCACGCTACGCCACTGTTACGCTCTAACTTATTCGCAGAAGTCACAAAACTGATGCTCCTCTGCTGGTATTCAACAGGACTCTAATCCGTATGGGAGTCAAAAATCGGGTACCGTCTATGTTGTATCGAATTTTACTCCCTGCATTGCTGATGGTTTATGAGGTCCCGGAGGGCTGCGCCACTATACATTTTTGGGGCAGTGGTGGTTCTACGGAATTTGGTAACACTATTTTTTCTGCATTTACAATTATTCCTTTAAAAAATCGGGTTACAAAAAATCGGTTCTAAATGAGACAATCTGCGGGCTGTACTTACTACTTACTGCTTTTCATATCGCAACTTCCCGCTTCCAATAACAGGATCCCTCTATTTCATTTTCCGTGGATCGAGTCAATTAGAGAGGTCGGACGGACATGAAATTTTTGAATGAAACTACAAATTTTTATGTTTATTTCATTAAATTTAAATTTTAAAGGGTGCAACTAGAAGAATATTTCACGAGGGAACCAATGGAACCGCTTTTAAAACCTCAAAGTTTTTTATGGACCAGGGCCGGATTAAGGCGGACCGGGGCCGGATTAAGACCGCGGCCACATGAGCCGCGGCCCATGGCGGCAAATCTATAAGGGGCGGCAAATTTTGCGATTTTTTTTAAATGTAGGTATAACAAAAAATTTGGATTTAGAAAAAAATTACAAACGAGAAAAGGCGACAAAATCTTTCATTTTCTGAGAGTATAGTAATTTCTACTTTTGTCGTCTTTCAGTGATACAAGAGGCAGCACCTTTAATTAGTCGAGTTTAGAGAGAAACCGAACACGCAATTCGGCCAGGAACCTTAGAGACTACCTAGACTTACCTAGAGAGCAATGATGACGAGGACTTGAGATGAAAAGGAAACGCCCTCGGCGCGGCGCGATCGGCATGTTTAACACATATTAGCGCCTACAAGACTGCACGGATACTTCACGCATTGCATCAAACACAGTGCAGTCATTGTGGACAGCGTGAAACGGATAGCGCCTATAAGACTGCGTGAATACTTCACGCATTGCGTCAAACACAGTGCGGTCTGCGAGGCGCGGCGGCGGAAGTTAAAATCATTAATCCACATTTATGTTTTTTCTTTCATAATTTTTTCGTTCATTTCTTATGAATGGAAGGCCTTGTCCACACAGAGATATAGGTCTACGAAATTTAATTTTTCCGCAAAGTTCCGCGAACTTTTGCTAGTAGTGTTGACAGGGCTTTCCCAATGTGTTCAACACCAGTAAACGTGTCTTATGCACCCCTCCCCCGCTGGTACGTTCATTTGATGGTGTTCATTGATGTTTCAAAACGAATGAGAAGGGGCGGCAAAATACTAGAGGCCCATGGGCGGCAAGTAGGTGAATCCGGCCCTGGTATGGACGGAGTTATGAGCTTTTAAAGTTTCCAAATTGTTTCCGACCTCTCCTGTTGACTCGATCCACTGTTTGGCGCAGCGCGTCTCTACATATACATGAAAGTCGCTTTCATTGCGATCTATAGCGCTCTGCGACCCTTAACCGCCACAAAACTCGGTCTTCCCACAACCCGTCAGGGAGTTGGCACTCCCTCTTTTCATTTAGAACCCCTCTTCGTCTTCTCCCAGGAGGAACCCAATCAAGCATCTTTTTTAGCAGCCTTCATGGAAAAAAATAGGGTAAACGACACTACCAGCGGTTGGTTAAAAATGCGCCAGCTACCGTGCGGTAGTTACGATGACTACCACGGTGGAGGTCACAACTAACCCGGTAGTTACATCAACAACCATGGGTGTCGACTTAACTACCCGGTTAGTTATGACCTCCACCGTGGTAGTTATCGTAACTACCGCACGGTAGCTGGCGCATTTTTAACCAGCCGCTGGTTGTGTCGACTACCCTATTTTTTTCCGTGTTTCTTCCGTTATCCGTCATCATGTTAAAAGGATGACGGAAGAGATAATATACGTTATATTCCTCCCTTAAATATTGCCGCTTTACAGAGAAAACAACCGCCTCGATTCAGCCAGAGTCTCCGCGGCCGCCGGAGCAGCAGGGATGCGGAAAGAGCATGGTCCAACAACGAAGGATGATTGTGGGTGGTGAATCTGCCGAACTCGGCGCCTGGCCCTGGCTCGCCGCTCTGGGTGTCAGCGTCCCGAATGTCACTTTCGATCTCTCATGCGGAGGATCACTCATCTCATCGCGACACGTCATTACCGCCAGGCATTGTCTTCATAAAAGATACATGTAGGTGTGTCAATAGCTTGCTGAAAGTGTTCCGTCAAAAAAGACAACACGAATTCTCGATGGAGCACCAACACTATTGGGTTACCAACCCAAGAAGCAAAATAGAATTTTTTAGAATTTTAGAATCTGTGTTCCAAAATATCACAGACCTACAGCCGGCTGTAAGATTGCCAATAGCTTCTACAGCCGGCTACACAATTTCTTATAGCCTTTTATAGCCGATGGCGATTAAGCAACAGCCAGGCGATAAAGTGTATGTTAAACGTTACTAATTACGGATGCTAGGACTTGGTGAGTTTTTGGAATACTGCTCTCTTTTCGGACCGTAGTATCTTGATTTACTTTTGCGAGGAAAGCTCCGTGCTTTTGATGGATGCCTGCCATTAGTAATATATTAGAGCGCCTTCAGTTTCGTATGATACTGTGCAATACCTCTGGTGTGAAATAGTTGCTTCAAGGGCCGTGGCACGCTGCGGCGCGGCTCGGCCTGAGGGCAGCCAACGCGAAACACGCATTGGCGCCTACAAACCTAACAGGGATACTTCACGCGTTGCGCAATGCGTGAAGTATCCCTGTTAGGTTTG